GCGGGGGCGTGGCCGGCGGGGCCGTCGAGGCCCTCAGGTACGCTCCGCCGGCGAGGGACCGGGGTCGTGTCTGTCCCGGTGGCTCGGGTGTCGCGGCCGAGCGGAGTGTGCTGCTGGTAAGGCGAGGCCCCGCTGGGGAGTTTGAACGTCATCGTAGGTTTGTGCGGCGCGGGCCTCCCAGTGGCGACGTCGCGCGTGCAGGCGGCGGGGTCTTGCTCCCCAGACCCGAGGTAAGTGGCTTGGCTTTCCGCGTCTGTGTGCGGCTCTGGGGACAGTTGTGTGTGTGTGGGGGGGAAGCTGTAGATGACGTTTATAGGACGCCTGGGTTCCTTGGCCCGTTTCTTGACTTTGCGAAGGGACCCTGGACCTGCGTTGCGTCTTACACGGGCAGCGTTCCGCGTGTCCGAGTGTTCCTGGCTTTAAAGATGTTCCCGGTGAGGTGAAGCTCGCCGTGTTCTGCTCACCGCGAGGGAGAAGAGGGGCGTCTGCAGAACGGGGCCCTCGGGCCAGTACTTAGGCCCTCTTCGCGGCCGGGCAATCCGCCCCGCCCGGTGCAGGTGTGTGCGCGCTGGTGCGTCCCGCCCGGTGCAGGTGTGCGCGCCGGTGTAACGAGTCCGCATGTGACTCATCCAGGAGCCTTTTGAATTCCCGCCGCCGCCGTCTGTCCCAGGGCTACAGCCACCCGGGTGCGGGTGAGGCGTCCCCCTGTGTTCTCCATTGGCGGCTCCCCAGCGGCTGCTGATGTGGATCTTCTCCTGTGCTTATTGGCCCCGGATCTGTCTCTGGAGAAATGATGCTGCAGATTCTATGCCCGTTTTTACTTGTGTTGTTTGCCTTTTTGTTGGTCAGTTTTAACTATTCTATACATATTTTGGATACTAGGCCTTATCAGATATAGGATTTGCAAATATTTCCTCTTATCCTGTACCTTGTCATTTCACTTTCTTATAGTGCTCTTCAAGGCAAAAAAATGTTAATGTTCGTGAGGTTCATTTTTTTCCCTTCATGCTCATGCTTTTGGAGTCATGTAAGAAACTGTTGTTAAACTCAAGATTATGAATCTTTGCACCTGTCTTTTCTAAGCATTTTACAAATTCACTTCATAGATTCAGGGCTCTGATCCAATTTGAGTTCATTTTTGCATGTGGTGTTAGATAAGAGTCTAACTGCATTGTGTTGCAGGTGGATACTCAGATTGCCCAGCACCATTGGTTGAAAGACTTGTTCTTTCCCCACTGAATTGTGTTGGCACCTTTGATGACACCAATTGTATGGTTAATGTCTGGACTCCCCATTCTGTTCATTGATCTGTGTCTTTATTTTCATGACAGCACCGCACTCTCTTGATAACTGTAGCTTTCTAGTAGGTGAAGAGAGTCCTCCAACTCTGTTCTTTTTCAAGACTGTTTTGACTATCTGGGATCACTAGCAATTCCATATGAGGTTTACGATCACTTTTTCTGTTTTTTCCCAAAAGGCCATTCGGATATTGGTAGGGATTGCATTGAATCTATAGAACACTTTGGGAATATTTGGAAATACTGCCGTTTTAGCAATATTAAGTCCCCCAATCCTTGAACACAAAATGGCTCTCCATTTATCGAGGTCATCTTTAATTTCTTCAGAAATGTTTTGTGGTTTGGGGTATAGAAGTCTTGTACTTCCCTGAGTGAATTTATTTCTGAAGGATTTTATTCTTTTTGATAGTATTGTATATGAAATTATTATTTTATAAGTTTCCTTTTCAGATTGTTCATTGCTAGCCTGTAGAAATACAGGTGATTTTTAGGATACTGATCTTGTATGCTACAATTTTGCTGAATTTCTTTTTCTTTTCTTTTCTCCTTTCTCTCTTTTCTTTTCTTTTTTTTCTTTCTTTTTTAAAGTAGGCTCCATGCCAGCGTGGAGCCCAGTGCAGGGCCTGAACTTGTGACCCTGAGATCAAGACCTGAGCTGAAATCAAGAGTCAGACGTTTAACCAACTGAGCCACCCAGGCACTCCTGAATTTCTTTAGTAGCTCTGATGTGCGTGTTTGTGGATTTTTAAAAAGGATTTTCTACATATAAGATGTTATTTACAATTACAGATACTTTTATTTCTTTTTCTGCCTAATTTCTATAGCTAAGACCTCTAGTATAATATTGAACACAAGTGGTGAAAATGGGCATCCTTGTCTTGTTCCTGATTTTAGAGGGAGAGCTTTCTGTCTTACACCACTGAGGATGATATTAGCTTTGGGTTTTTCCAAAGTGCCCTTTATCATTTTGAGATATTTTCTTTCCATCCCTAGCTTACGTGTTTTTATCACAAAATGAAATGGTGTTGAATTTTTCCCTTCCTTCTATTAATATGGTGTATTACATTGATTAATTTTTGTATGTTGAACCATCCTTGTATTCCTGGGATAAATCCCACATGATCATGATGTCTAATTATTTCAATATACTGCTGGATTATATTTGCTAGTATTTTCATGAGAATATTTTCATCTATATTCTTAGGATACTGGTTTATCATTTTTTTTTTCTTGTGATGTCTTTGTCTGACTTTGTTATCAGGGTGATGCTGGCCTCACAGAGTGTTCCTTCCTATTGTTTGGGAGAGTTTGGGATGGATTGGTGCTAATTCTTTAATATTTGGTAGAATTTACCCACAAAACCATCTGGTCCTGGGTGTTCCTTTTGTGGGATGTTGCTGATTACTGACTCAATCTCTTATTATAGGGTATGTTTGAATTTTCTATTTCTTCTTGGGTCAGTTTCAGTAATCTGTGTGTTTCTAGGAATGTGTCCATTTCAGAGGATTTCTAATATGTTTGCATGTAATTGTTCATAGTATTCTCTTATCCTTTTGTATTTCTGTGAAGTCCAGTAATGTTTTCTTATTCACTTCCAATTTTAGTAATTTGAGTCTTGTTTTTTCTTAGCCTATATATTGTCCAACCAGCTTGTTTTGTTGATTCTATTTTTTATTTCATTTATCTCCACTGTTACCTTAAAAATAAAACTGCCAGTTATTTTACCAGCAAAAATGGCTTTTTTCTGGAATAGCAGAGACTTGCAATCCAGGACAAGCAAGCCAGGGCAAACAAAGCCTTCCGCGAATCCGGGAACAAAGCAGAGACTCTTCTAGGGAACAAAGCAGAGGCTCTTCTAGGGAGGAAAAGAGGGGTTGGAGGGGCTGTTGTAAACTAAGAGTCCATTGGAGTAAACTGGGAGCTGGAAGTGTAGGGGCTCCCCATTGGCTGGGCTGTGACGGCCTCTCATTGGCTGAACTGTTGCTGGAGGCGGGGGGAAGCTTCCTTCTTCCGGTTAGGGTAGTAAAGTGGTAGCCACATGCAAGGTGCGCGTCTTCTGTTGAACCTGCAAGAGAAGTGCTGGGTGTGAGAGCTCCCCTGCCGGCGGGCTCCTCTATAGACAAGGTTTCCTTTGATTCCAACACCACTCTAATCTTTATTATTTCTTCCCATCTACTGGCTTTGGGTTTAGTTTGCGCTTTCTTTCTTGATCCTTAAGGTTTAGTAAAGTTAGGTTATTGACTTGTTCTCTGCAGTAGGCATTTACAGCTATAAATTTCCCCCACGCTGCATGTGCATCCTGTAACTGTTTTAGTCTTCAAGTATTTTAAAATTTTCTCTTGCGATTTATTTTTTGACTCATTGGTTATTTAAGAGTGCGCTCTTTAGCCTGCAGGTGTTTGGAATTTTTCACTTTGCTTCCTGTACCTGCTTTCTAGCTTCATTCCATTGCAGTCAGAGAAGATTTGTATTATTTCAGTCTTTTTAAACTTACGGGGGCTTATTGTGTGGTCTGACAAGGGGTCTGTCTTTGAGAATGTTCCATGTGCACTTGAGAAGATGTTCATTCTGCCGCTGTTGGGTGAGATGTTCTGTAGATGTTTGCTGGAGCTGCTTAGCTCATGGTGTTCCGGCCTTAACGCATTTATGTCTGGTTGCTCAATCCATGATGGAAACGGTGAACCAGAATTCCCAGCCATTGCTGTACAACTGTCTGTGTCTCTCTCCATTGTTGGGTTTGGGTTCATCTATTTTGGGGATTCTGCTGCTCAGTGTTTATATGTTTATAATTGTGACATCTCCTTGACGAACTGGCCTTTTAAGATCAATATAGATGTCTTCCTTTGATTCTTGTGACAATTTATATAAATCTTTTAAGATTTTATTTATTTATTTGACAGAGAGCGAGAGCACAAGCAGTGGGAGGGGCAGGGAGAGGGAGAAGCAGGCCTCCCGCGGAGCAGGGAGCCCGATGCGGGGCTCGATCCCAGGACCCTGGGATCATGACCTGAGTCGAAGGCAGACGCTTAACCGACTGAGCCACCCAGGCGCCCCTCTTGTGACAATTTATAAATTATATTCTATTTTGTCTGATGCTCGTATAACCACCTCAGTTCTCTCATGGATTTACTTCTGCCACTCATTTATTTTCAGTCTTAGATACTTTTTGTTGTTTTTCCTCAGCTCCTCCATTACTGTCTTTGTATTTAGTTGATTTTTTGAAATAGACTATCTTGGGGACGCCTGGGTCGCCTCAGTTGGTGAAGCGTCTGCCTTCGGCTCAGGTCATGATCTCGGGGTCCTGGGATCAAGCCCTGTGTTGGGCTCCCTGCTCAGCGGGGATCCTGCTTCTCCCTCTCCTCCCTGCTCTTGCTCTCTCTCGCTATCTCTACTGCTATCTCTGTCTCTCAAATAAATAAAATCTTTAAAAAACAAAATAGACTATCTTAACTCCCTTCTTCTATTTCTCTATGTGTTTAGTTATTTGTTAGTGGTTACCTCGGGGATTGCAGTTAACGTGACAACCTAGGCTGAGCTGAGAACACACTAGTATGAATAACACCCATTCGTGTCAGAAGTGTGCAAACACTCGTCCTATACATGTCTGTGTCTCCTTTGTGTTGTTATTGCAAGGTTGATGTCTATCTTGTCTGCCTCTTAACACAGATTAGTAGTGACCTCGTGCATTTGCCTATTAAATACTATAGGAAAGAGGAGTTAAAACCACACAGAATGGGGCATCTGGGTGGCTCAGTCGGTTAAGCCTCTGACTCTTTATTTCGGTTCAGGTCATGATCTCAGGGTTGTGGGATCACGCCCTGCATCGGGCAGAGGAGCCTGCTTGGGATTTTCTC